CACTGTGAACAGAAGCTATACTTCCTCATACCACAGGCAGGGTTCAGTCACCCTAACTGTCTCCAGTTATGTGCCTCCCAGCTCCTCAGTGTGACGTGTCATACATCACCGTTCCCTGACAACAACCTCCTCCTTGTGGTCATCTAGATACAGCCTGAGTGGCTGGGCTGGCTGCCACACCCAGCATGGACTGTACAGACACAGATGTCACAGCACAGCCACCTGAAACTTGTGCCTACGTGCTTTAAATCTACTAGTGAAAACTCTTCACAGGAGACCTGTTTGGATGCTGATACCCAGTAAAGCTTTGGCCCACGGATCCTGTTTCTCTACCCTTGCCTATACTTTCCTAACCTGTGTGTATTGACTTCCAGGTGTGAGTAATAAAAACTTCATATTTATCTTATGCCTTCCCTAATTCACCATAAAGATCTTACAATCAAAACAGTATTACTGGCTGAGTTTGAGATTTCAGAGCCTTTTGTCAACTTTGGAGAAGAGTTTCTAAGTTGAGTGACAGCAGTTCCAACCAAACCTTCCTCCCATGCTGTCACAGCTCCTAGGGACCTAACTTGTGCTTCTCTGTACCAGTCACAGCCACTCAGACTCAGGAGAGCAGCCCACCACCACCATCTCTATGCCCTGGGAACTCCCTCCATCTTCTCTGCTCCTGCAGCTGGCCTCTGGCCTCTCCTGCTCCTCTTCTTCCATGAATGTCACTTCACAGTCCCAGGGCCATCGTTCCTGACTCCCAGAGGAATAAAAGAGAAAAGAGTACCTTCCTACTACTAAGGGTTTGTTGTTGTTGTTGTTTGCTTGTTTTTTTTTCCCCTGAGATGTAGTGTGAACTCAAGTATAGTATGTGTACCACAGAATAAGTTTCATTCTGTGACTATATGTCCAATTCTATTTCCTCGAGTTACATTAATACAGACAATTTACAAATGAAAATTTGGTTTTTTAAGCATATATGAAGGACAAATGACGTTTTCCAGAGTGGCCTGGGAATTTCATTTCCAGAGGAGTGGGAAAATGTCTCAGTGGTAATAATCAGATAAGTAATGACCATTACAAACTACCTTTTCTTCCTCAAGCATGGAGGCAGGAAAATCTAAGTCTGGTAGGACAAAAGGGGGAAAAAAAAATCAAAGGGGCTGGAGGGATGGCTCAGTAGTTCAAAGAGCACTGGCTGCTCTTCCAGATGACCTGGGTTCAATTCCTATAACCAATTAGCAGCATACAACCCTCTTTAAATCCAGGTCTAATGGATCTCACAATTGCTTCTGGCTTTTAAGGGCACCAGGCATGCATATGGTGCACAGATATATATTCAGGCCAAGCACACATACACATAAATAATAAAATAATAATTAAAAAAGAAATCAAAGAACAGATATTTTAGCTGTATCATAATTCTATACATATACATTGTCATATAAAAATACACATATTTGCAAATATGTTAAGTGGTGTGGCAGCAAAAACGAACTGCTAAAGTCATCACACTCATTTTCACTCAGGATGTGGGAGGTGGGCCTCCCTAGGTCATCCCCACAGTACATGTCTACTGTGATAAAAGGTTTCAATAATGGTGAATGTACAGACCATTTGACGATACCAAGAAAAACAAGTGTTTAGAAATAATCAAGACACACAGAAGGGCTAAACACAGTGTGGTTCCTGCAACGTTCAAGACACTCTTTAGAAAACACATGCATGGAAATCTTCAGAGTGTGGCTTGGAAATCCGGATGGAGGTGACACAAGTTCCCCTTCAGGAGGACATCCAATGGTATCCTGATAAAGGAAGACACAGGGATGGAGTAGGAAGATTCCATGTGGGGGCAAGCACTGGGGGGAGGCCAGAGATGCTTCTGCTGCAGGCCTTGTGAAAGGATTCTGTACTTGGAGTAGAAGTACTTAGTCTGATAGGCAGTCACAAGATACTGTAGATTCTGGAATAAGATGAACCAATGGATATGAATGTAGGTAGGTATGCACAAGCATCCTATTTAGGTTGTGACCTACATGTTCCATATGCATTTCATCACTGACCTCCCACGTACTAGTCTTTGGTATTGCATATGAAAGTAAAGGACAGCTCAGCTGACCCACCTCATAGAAGAGTCCTTCTGGGAATTGCTGGAAGCACTGGGCACACACGAAGCACTGTTCATGGTAGAGCTCGCCATTACTGTTCACGATCTTCTCGGCAGGTGCAAAGCCTCCCTTGCAGCGCTCACACGTGGCGCTGGCCAAGGCATTGGCCATGTTGCTAAAACACACAAAAGACAAGATGCAGACTGTTAACTGGTAATTAGGCTTAAAGGCAGATGGCAACAAGAAACAAGGAGCAAATTCTATCTGGACATAAAACTCATATTTTATCCATAAAACCAGGTTTCACATATACTCTAACTTAAAACGACCCAGGCTCATTAACTAGGCACTCGGGTTTCTACAGTTGGGTTTCTGCTTTGTTTTTGTTTGACTTTAACATTTTTAGCATTTTTTGTAAGCAGTGTTAGACACTAAGACCACAGACCAAAGCCAAGAGTTCCCTCAGCTGGTACAGTGGGATACACCTGTAGTTCCAGCCTTTAAGGAGGTAGAGGAAGGAAGGTTGCTTGAACCCAGAAGTCCAAGAACAGCCTAGGCCATATAGCCACAGTGAGACTCTGTCTCAAATAAATAATCAATGAATAAATGTTTCCCTCAAGGAACTCAGGCTTAAAGCTGGATAAATAACTTCAATTAAAATATCCATGAGATAACATTTTTTAAAAAATTGTTCTTTGCTATGAATACATCTGCTTGCCTCCAGCTCCTCCAGGGCGCTCCATTCCACATTGCCCTCCCAACTTCATGTCTCCTCCTCCCCTCATAGCACACTGAGTCCAGTTAGTGCTGCTGTATGTGCACAGTTAGGGCTCCAACCACTGGAGACGGGCAACCTACAGTGGGCCACACTGCCAAAGAAAACTGCTTCTCCCTCCCTAGGCCAATGGCTTCTTAGCTGGGGCGAGGGGAGGCTCATGAGTTCCTTCCCTCTGTGAGATAACATTTTAAAGCCAATTTCTTTCCTTTTTGAGAACAAAATCTAAACATCATGTAACTGAACATCATACCATAACCTAAATTCAGATTATACCTGTGATTGGATTCTATTGAAAGTAACCGCTTAAAACCTCTGAAAATTAGACAAGATGCCTCAGTTCTATCAAACAGTACATAAGACAAACACTGAGCACTAACAGTATAAAATATATCTTAAAATCACAGAATTTTATGTAATAAAGATCATTTTCCAGATAGAGGAATAGGTTCAGAAGTGGACAATTAACTCAACATCACTGAACTAGTTTCTTTCTTTCTTTATTTTTTTTCGAGACAGGGTTTCTCCGTGTCGTTTTGGTACCTGTCCTGGATCTCACTCTGTAGCCCAGGCTGGCCATGAACTCACAGAGATCCACCTGGCTCTGTCTCCTGAGTGCTGGGTAAAAAGGTGTGCACCACCGCCGCCACCGCCCAGCCTGAACTAGCTTCTTAGTTAATGAGTGACACAGGAGTAGAACCCACGTTCCCTGCTTACAGGAATCTTATCCATCACAGATCAGAACCCTATTGTAAACTCTGAAGAGTTCATGGTAGGGATGCAATCATATTTTGCAGGTTAGGAAAATAAAGCCAGGCAGTGGCTAACATTGAGTGACTCTGACATAGGAAGTAGTCAATGAATATTCTCAGTTTTCTCTAACCACTGGTGCTTCAGAAGAAAGGCAGCATGGTTGAGGCAAAGAATTAGGTGAGAATTTCACATAAGTAGTATTTTGTTTCTGAAAGTTCTAGAAATGGAGAAGGTTCCCTACGCTGATTTTACAGGTTGCTTTTTTTGTTTGTTTTGGCTTGTTTTTTGTTTTCATAGGCCTCTACCATAAACAAGCCTGTCCCACTTCTGACCTTTCAGGTATTTGTTTGTCTCCCACCACCAATGCCAGGAGACAGACAGTGTGGGTGTGGAGAGCCTCTAACTCCACAGCTACTTCAACCAGCTGCCTTGCTCCTACCTCTTTCCAAGTTTGGCTGTTTCCATAGCAAAAGCGGCAATAGTTATTCTCCACTCCACCCCAATGGAGGACAACTCTACACTTACCTTTTCCCCTCAAATGTTTTAAGGCAATTTTATGTTCTAACCTGCTGTAAGAAACTGTGTTTTGAATTTCCACGTTCACCATTTCAGACCAATCAAAACTCAGATTTAATGAGTAAGCTAAATATAAAATAGGAATGTCACAAAAAAAAAAAAGAAAAAAAAAAAAAAAAAAAAAAAAAAAAAAAAAAAAGAAAGAAAAAGAAAAACTGGGGCCAGTGAGATGGCCCAGCAAGTAAGAGTGCTTATTGCCAGCTGGAGACTTGAGTTTAAGCCCTGGAACTCACATAGTACAAGAACAAAACTGACCCCAGCAAGTTATCTTTGCCCTCTACATGTGTGTAAACAAGACTTCCACTTTGTCATCTCAGAATTAATGTGACAGGAGAAGATCCATATAGTTCCTTCTACCCAGATCAACGGTGACAGTTTTCATGAAGTTCTGGAGAGATCTGTGCACCATTATCATTATCATTCTAAATCCCTCAAGGATACCCTAAAGCTCAGTAATCTTTTATATTTTTTGGGTTTTGTCTGTTTGTTTCTCTAGACAGCGTTTCTCTGTGTAACTGCCTTGGCTGTCCTGGAACTCTCTCTCTGTAGTCCAGGCTGGCCTCAAACTCACAGAGATCTGTCTGTGACTAAAGACTATGCCAACCGCCACCAGGCTAACCCTTAGTAATTTTAATGGACCTCCCCAAGAGCTGGAGAGCATTCTGAAATGTCCCGAACCACTTAACTCAGTGGTTCTCAAAGTATGGGTGACTGGTTCTCTGGAAGTACCTTTTCTCAGCCACATCTCTGTGCAGAAACAGATTGTAAGGAAGGAGCTTGCATGAAGAAAAACATTAACAAAATGTGTAAAAATGTAAGGCAATGGCATTCTATCCTCTATATTATTAACATGTAATGAGTTACTTTTCACTGAACTAATAAATACAAGTTCTCATACAAGAAGTACTGGATTTCAATCCTTTTTGCTTTTTTGTTTTTTCAAGACAGGGTTTCTCTATGTATCTCTGGCTGTCCTAAAACTTGCTCTGTAGATGAGGCTGGCCTTGAACTCAGAGAAATCCACCTGCCTCTGTCTCCCAAGTGCTGGGATTAAAGGCCTGTGCCACCACCTCCTTTTTTTGGTGGTGTTGAGACAGTATAAAGAAGTCCTTGGCAGCACCTTTAATCCCAGCACTCGGGAGGCAGAGGCAGTTGGATCTCTGAGTTTGAGGCCAGCCTAGGCTACAGAGTGAGTTCCAGGAAAAGGTTCCAAAGCTACACAGAGAAACCCTGTCTCACCCCCCCCCCCCAAAAAAAAGGTCCTTGGATAAAAAAATGCTATAACCACTGACTTTTTCATATTCACTATGTTACAGACTTTATTATGTTTGAACACTCAAGTAGAATTGGCAAAATGGGCTGAGAGATTAATGTAATATATATATTGTAACACACACACACACACACACACACACACACATTCTTTTAGTAACAAAGGAGGAACAGGAAACAGCAATCACTTGTCTCCCGACTAACCTCATGTTTCCCTTTCCTCTATCTTCTTGTTTGTTGGCTGGCTGATTTTTTTTTTTTTGAGACAGGGTCTTATGTAGCCCAGGCTGGTCTCAAATTCCTGACCCCCAACACCTTCCAAGTGTTGGGATTTCATGCTCAGTTCCTCTCTGGCCTGACTCTCCAGTACTATTCATATTTTTTGTAGCTGTCAATATTTAATATAACATATGACAGAAATTATTTTTAAGAGACAAGTCATTAGATTGGTTATACCTAACTGCTTAATTTTCCAGAAAATGTTTTTCACTAAAAAGTGTTGCTGACAAAGAAAATACGGGAGTAGGGAGAATGTATGTCTATAAAAACCCAGCCTTGAGGACAGAGTCCTGACTCACCAGCCAGGACTGATGTTATGGTCCTGCCTCTACAGGCCGGCTGCTCAGGAAACCACAATCAAGCCTTCCAGTTTCTCACATCTTATTTATCACTACATGTAAAACCAATATTCTGCTCTTAAAATACAACAATGTGCAAAATTCTGTTATCAAATATCTTGAGAGTTTACTAGCCACCTCAAATATTGGTTATGAAATAATTCCTTAGCAAAGTGTTTATCAATTAAAGTTTTAGTTTCATCTTTGAGAACTTTCAGAGTATATTTTTTCCTGTTATAGATCCTGATCACACAAAGTGCCAACTTCTCTCATGAAAATGTACCATTATTAGAAAGATAAGAGCTTTCTATTTCCCCCAGGAAGGTGGCATTTTCTTTGACATCTGTTATGTCCTCTGGTAGAAGTTTATAAGACAAGGCAATCCGTGAACCACCCCAAGCCCTCCGTACACCCTGGAAAAGCCATGCTAAATTAAAACACATTAGCTGGATCAAATGGCTAGGGAATGCAGAGCTGAAGAGCTGGAGATTTGAAAGCCATTTTGGGAGGGGAGAGACTCACAATTTCGCATAAAAATCACAAAATTCCTTGTAGACTTTGACATCACTGTGCCTTCGCTGCAGCTTGGATACAGCCCTCTCGTCTTCATTCCCATTAGCCTCGGGGACATTGTTAAGGACTGTCGGGGGGATTTCTTCATTCTCTGGGATGGTGCACGGGCGTGATCGGCCGGGGAAGGCCATTGTACAGGCTTGCAAGTTCAGAGTCCTGTGATTCCGAGCAGGATACAGAGAAGAGAAACAATATCCAGGCCTCCTGTTTCCCAGCCAGGGTCACTCCCACTGTTCCCACATGCGTCACCCAGCTGCCAGGGTCGCTACTGACTTTCACGTTAAGAGCTCGGTAGCATAGCAGTCTGAATCTATTACAACTTTCTAGAAGCTCTCAAAAACAATTTCACTTGGCAGTGACACTGTTTCTGAGCAGTTCTCCATTTGGGTGTGCAAAGAATCTTTTGGAAAGCTTGATAAGCTCCAGCTGAGGATCTGTGAATTCCTGAAATGAAGCTCTATGTAGTCTTCTATTATCTTTGCTCTTCATATAGAAACAACTTAGTGGCCAGGTGGTGGTGGCGGCGGCGGCGGCGGCGGCGGCAGCGCACGCCTTTAATCCCAGCACTCGGGAGGCAGAGCCAGGCGGATCTTTGTAAGTTTGAGGCCAGCCTGGTCTACAGAGCGAGATCTAGGACAGGTACCAAAACTACACAGAGAAACCCCCGTCTCGAAAAAACCAAAAAAAGAAACTACTTGGTAGGTGCTTCAATGAATGGGTGCAGTGTAAATTAGAAAGAGCAAGAATTCAATTGTAACTCTTCTATTTCATTCCAGCTAACCCTGTAACAGGAGTCAAAGATTCTTCATGGTGTTCCTGCTGTATTTAGTTCAAATGACTGTCTTGTAATTGTGTTTGTCGTGATAATAGCAACAACAGCAAAGTATGAAGCCACACAAGGGTTTAGGTTTCTTTCTTTTTGTTTTTAAATTTTCATTGATTCTTTGTGGATTTCACATCATGCATCCCAATCCCATTTATCTCCCTGCCCCCTTGCTTCCGCTCTCTGTCCTTGCAAACCCCCCCCCCAAAACAAAATTTAAAAGTAAAAACAAACAATACCCGCCCCTACAAAAAAAAATTTCAACGTGGAAGTGGTACTGTGGCCTAGTGAGCCCATACATCTTTACTTGTAAGTGCTCATTGGTCAGGTTCGGGGCCTCTGACTTCTGCTGTGGCATCAATATTGGGTCCTCACTGGGACTTCTCTTCGATATCCCTTTGTTGCCCCGTGTCGTGGAGATCCTGGAGCTTTGGGTCTACAGGACTGGCAACTTCACATGCTCCAACAGTTAGTTCATAGATGAGCTCAGTACTTCTAGGCCTGGGCTGGCTTGAGGAGGACAGCCACAGCTCTAGGCCAGGGTTTAGGGGTTTTCTGTGGTTCCATTCTTTGTTCCAGTAAGCCATCCTACCCAAAGCAGGCATCCCAAGGAACTTGTGAGCAGGCATAGTGCTGGGTACCTCAGGTCATACTTGTAACAGGAGAGTCATGAGACCAACACACAAGCAACATACACGTGAGACCTGAGTAACCGTGAATGATGATACAGAAGAGTTATCTGAAGATAACACCACATCCTCTGTGAAATGTTTGTTAGTCACAAGTAAAAAAACCAAGGCCACAAAGAGACTGAATAATAAGTAAGTGGAGGGGTCAAGGTTTAAACCTAGGGACTATGCTGTCATTTCTATGAGAGAAAATGGCTCAACAGAATTACTGGGAAATAAAACGGGTGAACTCTCAGTCAGTATGTGGCGGGTACAAAATGGGATGAGAAGCAGGAAATGAGATCACATTTCCCTACTTTGAACCTAAGGCTATCAGAATGATGAGGAACTCAAAGACTGTGGCCTTAGACCTGCTGAGGCCCAAAGCTTCAGGATGATAGACCAGGGGACTCATTAGTTTTACATAGTAAAGAAACAGCTTTATGGTGTAAATGCCATTCTTTCTATTTATCTCTATGCCCTCATTGTTGGTTTCTTTGTTTCTTTTCTTTTCTTTTTTTTTTTTATTTTTTTACGAGGGCAAAGTAAAACAGAGGAAGGACAGAATCAGACAATCAATTTCAGGCTGACGAGCATATGCCACTCTGTCAGGTTTCTCACTGAGAGCTTGACAGCAACATAGCTGTTCTAGTGCCACTGAGTATGTAGCTATGTGGCCACCAATCAAGCAGGACAGTGCTTTCCGCCCACAGGAATCTCTTTACTGCCCTACCTGCCTTATTTGGTTTTTACCCGGGTAAACCGTCATTTGTGGAACTCTGTCACATGTCATGGCTGAAGGCTGGCTCTGTCCAGGCTGCAGACACACATGCAGTTGCCTCTTGTGCTGCTGCATGACATTCAGCATTATTAAAGAAGGTATGGTCAAACCATTCACCCACGGAAGGAGAGCTGTGGAGCTGTGTTCCAATTATACTTTACGGTGAAATAACGACTAGGAGTGGTGGTACATGCCAGGAATACCAGCACTCGGGAGGCTGAGGCACAAGGATTTAAAGCCAACATGGGGCTACACAGCGATGAAGGGCAGCCTGCATGGTAAGAGTCTATCTAAACAAAACAAAGACCAACCTTTTATTTGACAGGGCTGGGGGTGTAGCTCAGTGGTAGGTCACTTGCCTACCATGAATGAGCAAAGGGTTCAATCTCTTCCACTGAAAAACAAACAACAAACAAAGGTCTTCCACTCAGTTATCCCTACCTACCCCAAAAGAACCTGTGATCTGTAAAGAGATATGATGACCACACAGGCTGCACAAAGGACCTAAAATGCCCCCTTCTGACAATCCAGCCAATAAACAACCTCTCATCCCTCCTGTAAATTCTCCTACCACCAGCCTGGAGGGAGGCAGAGCTGACACATAGCTCAGGGCCTCCGCTCTAGCAAACCGTGCAGCAAAACTTCTCTTTGCAAAAACTGGATGTTATAGGATTAACCTCCAGGCATGTGAGATAGTCACTGGAGGCTGGCCTTGACTCCCAATCTTTCTGCCTCTACATCCTAAAAGCTGAGATTATAGGCATGTACAACTATGCCCAGTTTAAAGAGAACATTCTTTTGTTAGGTTTTTTTTTTTTTCTGTTTGTTTTTGACAAGATCTCATATGCTAAACTAGGCTTGCCTCAAATTTGTTCTTCTGCCTCAGTCCAAGAATGCTGGGATTATAGGCATGTGCTAAAACATCATACATACACACTGACTTTTACTGACATAGTAATTATTCACATCAGTGTGGTGCAGCATGACATTCACATACACACACACACACACACACACACACACACACACACACACACACAAGTAAAAAAATAAATACCTTTAAAGGCACTGATTTTTGTATGTGGATTTTTTGTATTTTTCAATTTTACTAATTTGTCTATCAATATTAAAAGTGTTTTTTTGGGTTGGGTGGTGGCGGCAGCGGTG